CCTCAGCCTCACCGCCGCCCGCCTCCCACCGCCCAGGACCCCCCGCCCGCCCCTCACACTCACCGGCACCTGCAGCGGCCTGTCGCTGGGTGCGACCGTCATGTCGGAATCCGAGTCGGAAAGCTGCCCGTCTTCCATGTCGCCGGCCTCCTGCGCCATCTTCCCGCGGCGCGGCGGGTCGCGAGAGCACTTCCGGCGGGGTGGCGGGAAGGGCCGGCCGGCGGCGGCAGCTCGGGCGCCCCCGCGAGGGGGCTCCTCCCGCCGCGGCAGCCTGCGGCGGCCTCGCCGGGAGACCTGGGCCAAGACTGAGCGATGTGCATCGTCATTGCAAACCACTCCTTCCAACGACTCCGGGAAGACGAATCCCTTTCCCCGACACTTGGGCGCATTTTCTTCCAAACTTGGTTTTCGTGCAAAATTTGGGCCCGGACAGCGGCCATCGGGATTCCTCCCTTGGCTTCACACTCCTCACCTGGATGCTCCGGGCAGGCCTTCCTGCTTCCATTCTTGCTCCTGCGCAATCCGCTCTACACGTGGCCTTTCAGGCAGTACCTGAGGTCACCGGCCTGCTCAGACCTTCCAGGGGCTTCCCTCCACACAATAAGGCCTGAGTTCTCAGCACAAGGCCGCTGGCCCCCCTCTGTGCCCCTCTCCAGCTGCGCTGCTGCTGCTCACGTTGTCGTTCCTCGGCACCATTTGTTCTTTACTGGCTCAAGGCCTTGGCGGTTGCTGTTCCCTCTGCTTGGCCGACCCCTCCAACACCCTGGACACCCCATTCTTTGCACAGGTTGTTCTCTCACATGATTCAGGTTTCTGATTAAATGCTCCGTTCTCAGAGAGGCCTTCTTGGACCACAGGATCCTCTATTGTTAGTTTTGAACTTTTTTTTTCTTCACGGCATCAATAGTCATACATGTATTCGTTTTGTTTTTGTCTGAGTTCTCCACTAAAATGTCTGTTTTATTTACTGTTTCCCCTAGTATCCAGCCCACTGACTTCTTGTATTATAATTAGTGACCTATTATTATATTTTCTTGACCTATTATAATGGGTGATCAAGAAATATTTATTAAATTTTTTTTTTACATGAAAGGAATCTTATTATTTATACCTTTTACTATTCTGTAATCTGCTTTAAAAAAAGGATGTAGCAGTGTATCCTGGACACCTTTCTATACCAAAATATAAAGACCTAGCTCCTTCTTTTTAATGATTCCCTAGTATTCCACTGCATGGAGATACCATCATTTTTTTAGTCTCTGATGTGTACATTTAGGCTGTAGCCAGTTTTGCAATTAGCATATATTTTTACAAACGTTTTATAATTTCTTAGGATATGTTTTTAGACTGCATGGAAAAGAATGAATCTAGATTTTTGATATGTGAATTTGAGACCTATAAAAGAACTTAGAAATTACCTTGTCCAATCTCTTATTTTGACAAATGAAGAGAGGTTACACAGCTAAGCTACTGAAGAGCTGTCTTGACTCCAGTTTTCCTAACTCTTAGACAACTTTATTGTTTTATCCTTCCTACATAGATTTACAATCCCCCTGGAATTGATTTTTGTGTATGGTGTGAGGTAGGAGTCAAATTTCATGCTATAATTAACATTTTACTATGTTAAAATATAGTAAATGGGATGCAGCTAAATATCGTATAATGCATAGACCAGCCCTTCACATTAAAGATTTTCTCCAATGTTTTCCTCTAGAAGTTTTAGAGTTTTAGTTCTTATCTTTAGGTCTGTGGTCCATTTTGAGTTAGTTATTGTATATAGTATGAAGTAAAAGTCAAGGCTCATTTTTTTTTGCATGTGAATATCTAATTAATATAGCACCATTTGTTGAAAAGACTATCATTTCCCCATTGAATTTCCTTGACACCTGCATTGAAAATTGACTGTATATTAGAGAGTCTATTTCTGGGTTCTCTATTCTGTTCCATTGATCTTTATGTCTATCTTTACACCATCTTTCTTGATTACTGTAGCTTTATAATAATCGTAAAATTGTTATAATAATTGTTAAAATTAAGTAATATAAATTTTTTCTTTTTTTTCCAAAATTGTTTTGGCTATTCTAGATCCTTTTCATTTCTATTTAAACTTTAGAATCTGCTTGCCAATTTTGGAATTTTGATTGGGATTGCATTGACTCTATAGATTAATTCAGACAACTTGATGCCATTAAACGCTAGAATCATATATTGTTAATTAACAGCTCTTCTTCTGATTCTGGGCCCATTAAACAACCAGATAGGTAGTTTGTATCCTGGGAGAGAATGCAGTGATTAAAGGAGGTGAATGGTTGGTCCTTTCTGAAGATAATTTCCCTATAAAATAATATGCCAGCATTCTAGTTGTGGCATTACTTTTTGTGAACTTGATTAATGGGTCTGCCCAGAGCAATGGTGTCGCTCACCTATGCTTTGACAAATCAAGTTCTGAGTTTGCAATAATGAAATTATATCCTGGGTGGTGGTGATTTCTCCAATTTACTGCTGCCTTAGGGCAAGCATGCATGTTCAGGTCACATCCCTCTGCCTCGTGGCCAGCTATCTGTGAAGAATGAAGACAGCTAGCATTCACTGAGGACATCCTAAGCACAGGTCATTTGTACCTATGCTGTGACTCCAGACTCCTTGCTTTAATCACCGCCCTATATGACGCCTTTGATAAGTCATCTGAAAAGCTGAATTGGCCATTTGCAAACTCTGCCACTTTTAATTGGTTCAAGGTATCCTGAGTTCAGTAGGGCAGTGCAGTTTTATATATGCTTTCCTATGTGATTGTCTTTCATATAGGAAATGTGATTTCATATGATTCATTTAATTCTATCTTTTCTTGCTCTGCCCCATCAAAATTCATTGTTTATGATTTTTCCGACCTCCTGTTGGGCAGGGCAAAGTGAGTTTTGAAAAAAGGAGGTGGAGGAGAGATGCAATCCCTATTTTCAATGAGGGTAGTTGCTGGTGTCCATCTTCCCAGAACTAGTTTAGAGAGACAGTCATGAACCTCTCCTTGACTTAGTGAAGAGAAGGAAGCTAACATTCCTTGAGGGCATTATGTGTTGCTCCTAAAATTTAGTGCCACTATAAATGTCTTTTCATTTTTTGAATCAAATGGAGGAGAAGGGAAGGAAAGGCATGGTGTTGGGATATATGTACAAAGAATCTTGCTGGCAGCCAGAAAGTGAGGAGAATCAAATTCTTAGTTAAAAAGTCTGAGAATTAAAATGAAGTTAGTGCCTCAGTCCTAGGGATAGATGGAAGATGACAGCTGGGTTGTTGATAGAGATTACTGATGCTGGACAGGGTATCCATGCTTACTACTCCTGAGGTGTGTTCATAGGTTCGTTTGTTCATTCATTCATGTAAGGGGACGTGAGCCTGGTACAATGCAGGGAATTGGGGAGCCATGCAAGGATGAGTGGGAGATGGTCCTTGCCTTAACCAGGAAAAATATAACATTTACAAATGGAAGCATCATTCATGTATCTCCAGCACTTACTACAGTGTCTGGTAGCTGCTTGATACATGCCTAGTATTTGTTGAAATCATTTGTGCCATAAGGGTGGAACAGACAAAGCTCAAGCTCAAATGCAGAGATGGAAGGACAGGTTTTACAGGTGGAGAGAACAGCAAGGGCAAAGATACAGGGGGAGGAAAACACAGGCTTTGTGTAGAAACATAAAGTGATTGTCTGGCTGCAGTGTGGAAGACCACAGGCAAGTAGTGAGACAAGTAGAATTTTGCAAAAGTAGTCTGGGAATCACTGAGACGCCTATTAATTCAATTGATTTGAGCGTGCGTGTATATTTTTAACTCACGTCCAGATCATGCTGATTGAGATGTTAGTATTTCCGTTATATAGGGTAGGCCTAGTTATTGTGGAATTAAATGGGAGATGGCATGGTAAGGGAGGTTTGGTGAAAAGGATATTGCAGGAAGATAGAAGAAACGGAGAATGAAGGAAATTAATCAAAACTGTCTTTGTTCTTCAAAAGCAAGAATATACCCTGGCAGGATATTTAGAAGGAAGTACCATAATTTAAAATTTTTCATTAATTAGAAAACTCTAATTTGTAATTTAACAAACCAGTGAAAACAAAAAACCCTCCGTGGCTACTCCACGGAACAGGAGCGTCACCATCACTCGGGAGCTGGTTAGAAATGCTGACTCTCAGACCCCCGTCCAGACCCACTGAATCAGAATGTGCACTTAACACGATGGCCGAGTGACTACATGTACTTTACAGTCTGAGAAGCCCTGCTCTAACCTACTGTACTTTACAGCCAATATTTTGCTGAAAAGAATTTCTAGCTGGTGCCGCGGTTCCCGGCGTCTCTCACCAGATGGCAGTAGCCCTCTCGCTCACTCTCGGTGGCACCATCAATGTTCCTGGCCGGGCCTAAGCTCCGGGCTCCTCCGGAAGACCCGGGGCGGGGCGGTGGCGGGGGGCGTGCCCGGGGGCGGGGCGGGGCCTGCCCAATGAGCTCTCCCGGGCGGGGGGCGGGGCTCTATTTCAGCGGCTCTTCGGGCTGCAGGCGTGTCGTGCGTCCGGTGCTCAGTATGTGGCGCTTTTCTCGCCAGCTTTGTGTGCACGTTGCAAGGGGCAGCAAGCTCTCCGGACTTGGGAACAGGCCTGCTGCCTTCATGTCCACTCTGCTGATCAATCAGCCGCAGTATGCTTGGCTGAAGGAGCTGGAGCTCCGCGAGGAAAACGAGGGCGTGTATAATGGAAGCTGGGGCGGCCGGGGAGAGGTATGCGGGCGCCCCGGGAAATCTCTGCTGCCTCAGTTCGCCCGGGAGGCCGGGCGGGCCCTGCCCGACCCCACTCCCCGCTGGCGCTGTAGGGATTATACTGGATGGGAAGTTTGGACTCTGCACAAAGTTTTCTCGCGTAAGGTGCTTTAAAAATGCTCTTAGATTTTAGGTCCTCGTGTCGACGTCATTTTGGAGTTGCTAGGGGTTAAACTTCCCACGCATACGTAAAACCTTGTAGCAGAGTCCTGCTGTCTGTAGTGAGAAATGCTACAGGCTTATAGCGGTGGAAATTGTCTTAATTTTGAGCTTGACTGTGGCTCCTCAGATGTGACATGCACCGCAGGGAAGGCTCTAAAGTGTAGTTTTATGTTGTCGTCTTGCCTGAAATCCTTTGAAGTTTGCAACCTCGGACTTGCTGAAATCGTGTCATGTTTTCGTTGGGCTCTGAGCCTCCTTGAGAACTGGGTTTTCAGCATTTCTCTATTGCCCAGAGCCTAACACCATGCCTGGCACCCAGTTAATGCTCAATAAAATATTTTACAGAATACGATAGAAAGGTGTAAG